TTGACAATCGAAATTACTTTCAATTTGTTCATTTTCGAGAGGATAATCTATTTATAGTAGTTACAAATCATGAAAAGTTAGAGAAGGTAGATCAAGTTCTAAATTTTTTTTTAAGGTTTTAGGTTTTAATTTAAATTTTGATATTTTTTTTAGTGCATTGAAATCCGTTATGAGACACTAAAAGAATTTATGGACCTTATTTATGTGTTTTTCAAATGTTTTTTGGGCAAAAAAAAAAAGCTAAGTTTAGGTTGGAAAGGTCAAAAACCTTCAAAATCCATTTTTCGGTCAACCAAAGCTAACTGAAAGTTGCAGATACACGACATGTCGTCTGCTGCACCTCGAACGGACAACGTGCGTCCATTTCCTTTTTTGTTTTTGTATTTTTTTTAATGTAGTCTAGCTTTTGCGGGCTTGGAACCAAGCCCAAGCGCTTGGGGTTATGTTTCAGCATTTTTCTTTTGAATAATTTATTTTAATATTTTTATTGACATTATTTGTGAAAGAATTATGAAATATCGAACACTATTTTTATGTTTCTCATGCAGCCTTGCGAAGATGATATATATATATATATTCCTTCAATTTCTGATTTTATAAAAATTCTCATTAGATGAATTTTTTTATTTATTATAATTTTTTTTTGCTGATAAATTTAATTTATTTTCTCTACATATAGATTTTGAATTTTTTTTTTTTAAGAATATCATTGCTTTTGTCTTTTTAAAAAATTATGTCATTTATATCATGAATTCTTAGAAATCTAAAATGATGGTCGGGTGGTTATAAATATATGTTCAATATAAAAGTTAAGAGTGTATTTTAAATAATTTTTTTAAAAAAATTTTAACATTTTTTACTTTGTACTTCACACTCTCAATGCATTAATTAGTATAGTCATGATATATACAAATAATAATAATAATAATAAATCATCTATTTTATCAAAAAATAATTATGCATGTATGCACACAACACCAACCATTTGCTCTTAGTTTTTTTTTTTTCTAATATCATAAAAATAACTTCTTTGAAATAAAATAATTGAAATAATATTTTAAAAGAACCACCAAATAATTTAAATATAATTTTTTATGCTAAGATTATTGATTAAAATCTTCTTATCCGTCTTAAATAAAATAAAAAACATTTTCTCATAAAACCTTATAAAAAATATATTTTGATGGCATTTTTTTATTTTTGGATAAAATTTTAATTAAAAAATATATACGTTTGGACAACCAACATCGCACAACATTAATCGCAAACAAAATAAGTTGGTGTTTATGAATTTATTAATTTATCAATTAATTTATTTAAAATTTATTCATAAACATCATCTTATTTTATAACGTTATTTATCAATACCGTAACTCCACACGCATTTAACCATATAAGACACACAACGAAGCAATTATCACAAAATAGTATAACCTACAAGAATTAGTCTCTACTGAAATCTATTAAAGAAGACTGGTATCTCATTGGCACTAGTTGACTTGGATTGATATACTATGAGTATGAGATATACGTGTGTATTACAGGTGCATTTTGCTACGAGATATATTTCTAGTATAATGCTCCTCTACTCACATAAAAACTGTTATAAAATATATTTTTAATCTAGTTGCTTGTTCTATGAGATATATATATATATATATATATATATTAAGTAATCCTAGTATTGTTATTTTGATAACTCAATTAAGAATTTTTTTTAAAAAAAATTGAACGGACACTTTAGTCTAAAAAATAGTTTTACAAATTATTAGTTATCATTTGTAGATAATTATTCATTTGGTTTCAAAAGATTAATGTTGGAATTATTTGTAACTAATTATTGATTAAAATTATCAACAAAATTTTACAACTCGATTAAAATTAGTCATAAATTATTGATTTAGTTGCAAATGAATAGTATTGAGAAAATAATGTATTTATTAATGAATTAATTAATTTCAAAATTTTCACAAATGATTGCGAGTCTTGTAATAATCATTTTCAATCATGTAAGTATAGTTTAGGTGGTGTTTGAGATAGTGGTAAAAAAATAGAGATAAATTATTGAAATATTTATTATAAAAATAATTTTAAGGTATAAAAATGGTTTTTAAGAATATTTAATGTATTTATAAATCGAAAAATAAAATATTATTAGAAATAGAGAAAAAATAATTAAATAATTGATAAGAAATAATTAAAAATTAATATCTTTTAAATAAAAATGAGACAAAGAAAAAAATTATTAAAATATATCGAGAGAGAGAGATAAATAATGCGAAAGTGAGATAGCTTATGAGAGAAAGAGAGAAAATATGTTTCTCTTTTTTAACTCGGAAAACACTTTTCTAAAAATGGTCTATCAAATTTCGTTGATTGAAAATCAAAATTCAAATTTCATTGATTGAAAATCAAAATTCGTTGATTTTTTTTCTAAATGCGAAAAATATCAAAAAATGAGATAAAATAAGAAAAATAAGTTTCTGGAACTTATTTTTTCCGAAACAAACATAACTTTAACGACATGTCTTAAATTTCTGGTCTATTTTACACACACACACAAATCAGTCAACTCAATAACTAATACGCGTGATTATCAATTTCTTGCTGAGTTTTACAATATTTGTACTCTTCTTTCTGGCAGGTTCTGATGAAATCTGGACTTGCTTTAGGACCAATGACATACAAAACATGTGCAAACAAATAATTATTGATGCCTTCTCAGTTCTGTCAAGAAAAAGTGTTCTCTTAGGACCTATATGTTGGCAATGGATCCAAATTAAGAAATCCAATAAAACGGTGGTTTGCTTTTCCGAAGAGATTTTTGAAATCGACACAGGAAAACTAGCAAGGATACAAAAATGGAGACATTTCGGTCCAGAAAAAATGCACTCATTGTAAGTGCTATTTACAACGAAAAAATATGCTAGGTCTCATGTCTTAAGGACTACTGATTTCTTCAAAGGTGAGGGTCCCCACACACGTTATCCTGCAAAATTAACCTCCAACACTCAAGCATCATATATCATGAACCACTGTAATCTTCTCTCTCTCTCTCTCTCTCTCTCTCTCTCTCTCTCTCTCTCTCTCTCTGTTTCCTATAAAGCAAATATAAAAGTTCCTGAACTGTTCTATATTCATATTACTGTTAACTACTAGAAAATAAAGTAGCAATGATATCCCAAAAGCAAACAGGAAAAGATTGCGGCTATAGAAGTCACTATTCAAAATATAAAATCCATAAAACTCCTAGGTACAGTTGAGGTGTTCGAAGAGAAAAGATAAAAACAGCTTGAAGAACTTCGAGCTGCCTGTTGTTGAAATTCCATGATGTGAAGATCATCTCCAAAGTAACTGCATCATGTGTCCGAAAGGCCTTTCTTCCATGAAACAAGCCGCATTCCTACCCTGGATAACCAACCCAAACTTTGTTAATTCATGTGTTCTCTTTGTTTGTTTGTTTTTTTTTTTTATGCCTAATAAAAAAGTTGCAATCATGAGAATTAACCTCTCAATTTGTTCCTCACACGGAGCTACACTAATTACAAAAAATCAAAAGAAAAAACTTTCAAAGATATGGGTTGATCAATTGGCATATATGCGCCAGAAAGAAAAAGTTGAGAATTAATGAAAAAATATTGATAATCAATCTTTTCTTGACATAAAAGTGATAGCATGCACTTCGGAAAATGAGTTTACCATACAGCTGTAGAAAGCGTCGAGATCATAGTTGTTATCGCATGTGGTGAGGTGCGGCTTCTTTCCTATCAGAGAAATATATATATATATATATATTTGTGGTGGGGCTTCTAACATGTACGTTGTTCTTCTGCTAAATGGTACCACAAATTTCTTCTTGCCTTTTCTTTTTCCCATGAGCTAGTATGCTTTTGCTTCGAGATTTTGTTATATTAATTTTTTCGATTTATATTTGAAAATAGGATTGAATTATTGTAGTAGTAATTTTTACACGAATAGTTGTTCGTAGTGTTCAAATTAGTTTTTAAATATATTTAATATATTACGGTAAATTCTTCATCTAGGAGAGGGGAAGAATCATAAATATACAAGCAGAAGATTTTCAATTATAAAATGAAACAGAAAGAAAAAATATATATATAATAACACGGGACTAGGGAAGAGCTGGCTTAACATGTTTAACCTAAATGTGACTATTTTGGTTTGTAATTGTTACCCCAATAGCCACATCCTCCCTTCCCCCAAAATTATTGGAATACGGATTACAGCTATTAATTTTTCGTGTGCCAAACTTCCATAGAAAAAGAAGAGTCAAAGTAGGAGAAAATCTTGCCTACATCTAGGTTTTCTTTTTTTTCCCTTGTACTTTCCACGAGAAATCATGCAAAGCTAGCAAAGAGACTAGTATAATAACATTAAAAGTTGGATTCATCCCACGGTCACACAATTATGCATTTTTTTACGAATAATAGAAGCAAATCCTCCAGAGATCAGAAAATGCATTCCTAAATGCAATAATTAAAATAAACTGTCATAAATTTAAAAATCTAAAAAATAGGAGCCCAAAACTTAATTAGATATTTATCTGGAGGTGGATGCACGGCCAAACAGAAAAGACATTTCGTCAGAGCATCCTAAGACCAGCAGCACTCGTGACTCTGGCAGGTATATATATGTGTAGAAAGAAAGAAAGAAAAAATATATAAGGAAATAAAAACAAAAAGACAAGAAAAGAAACAAAACCCCCTGTATGTTCTCCCATCTCATGACTGCTCCCCTCATGCAAAGAAACTGGTCAGGCAGACACACCAGGTACATGGTAATAATAGGGAGTAGAAATTCTTTTTCCAAACCCCAAAAATGAAGGTAAAAACATGAAGGACACATTTACCAATGAAATCAGCAATTTTTACGTACTTTTAATCATATCTAGTATAATTATAATCATTAAAAACTTCACTAGTCTATAGATGAGCTTTTAGTTCACGTACCGGTACTTTGTCATCTAGCATTTTTTTCCTTCACTGAAAATTCCCATTTCCTCCGAAGGATTGGCTTGTCGGCGCTGCAGAAATATTAGCATTATGTCTCTCTGAATCCAAGGAGGAGCCACCCATATCCATGCCATGATGCTGACGTTGTGGCTGCTGCTGTTTTTCTCTTTGTGAAAACCCTGATGATCCACTCATGCTTCTCACTATTTGAGGACCAACACCAAGAAAGTCTCTTGTCAATCCATCAGACCCACCAATGCTTGCATTGAGACTTTGGTGCAACTTTGCTTCATCCATGTTAGTATTGCCAAAATTTGGGCCATTGTGTTGCTTTTCTTGCTCCAAATTAGCCCTATTTGCAGCATATCCACCATAAGGGTTTTGTTGTGCATGTCCAGAACAAAAAATGGAGGAATTCCCAGGAGCAAATGAGTTCATTAGGTCATGAAGATTATTCTCATTTTCGCTGAACATGCCACTAAAGTTCCCGCCAACAAGCGGCCTATCTGATTTGGCACCACTTGAAGAAGAGCTACCAAAACTTCTTAGCAATGAGGCACTGTTGTTGCTTGAAGTTGAACCCATTTGAGCAGCTTTTTGAAGCAGCGCAGTAGCAGACATATGAGAGACCATGTTATCATTCTGAACAGAAGAGTTGAAGAGAGAAGGGACACCAGAGGTCATTTGATTACCCATTACATTGTTTGAGAAGATATCAGTCTCTTCACTCCCACCACCAACACCATTTTGGTTATTGAAATGACTGGACATTAGTAATCCTGAAGTTGGTAGGTTGCTGTTCGAGTTGTTTGCATTGTTGCTGTTGGCAATGCTGTTTGTGGTGCTACTATTGGATAGAAAGCTAAGGTTGAACAAATTGCCACCAGAGGAAGGGTTACTAGTGGGGTTGGCAATATCAGCAAATTGCATCGATCCATGATGGAATGCCTTATTTTGCAACAACTCTTGCTGAGATTGGTTTTCATCATGATAATTCTGGTTTGGTTCTTGCATGAAGAAAGCAGATGAGGCCATTTGCTGTGGGGGTCGAAATGACGATGAACCAATTGATGGAGGGAGAAGATGATCAAATTGTCCAGTCCGAGCACCACCACCAAGTCGTAAAACGTCGGCAGAGTGCTTATTGTGGTCTTGTAGTGAGGAAATTTGAGTACCTACTTGAGATAAGCCTAAGGTCATGTTGCTACTTCCATACAAATGGCTCCCAATTGTGTTCAAGCTGGGAGGAGGGTTTCTTGCACTTTCTTGAGCCAGTGCGTCACAGAATGCCCTGTGAGTGATAAAGCTGTCACGCCTGCAACAATTATTGGGAGAAGAAGCGATTAGATCACATCAGAGAGATGGTAAAAGTACACAATGACGAAAGGAAAGTTGAAAAGAACTATAAACAGGAATATATGTCGCCAATACACAGATTATACATTTGTGAATAAAAAATGTAGCTATAGATATGAATAATTGTGAAATGTGATGCCAGCTACCTCAAGGCACATGTGTATGTCCTGTAATGTTATAGAAACTGTGATAACATATCAGATTCTAACACATTTAAATAGTTAGTCCAAATTATAAAGCCACCAAAGAAAATGAAGTCCATCCCCGTGACAAATGGCATATAATCAACATAAATGAAGATTCATAAGTTCCTGCCCATTATTCTTGGCTTCCCCCATTATCTTGATGCGTCCCATCTTCAGTAAAAGGCGCCCGAATTGTCTTGGTACAACAATACAATGATAATGGCTACGTAGTTCCAGGACTTACAGTAACTATCACCTCCAAAAAAAAAAAAAAAACACTAGGGTTCCATTTCAGCTGTTAAAAAGAAAAAAGAAAAGATGTGCAGCAAAAAGATGAAGCATAGGGTAAGAGAAAAGAGAGGGATTTAGGATGCCTGAATCTTCTATAATAGAAGACTTAAGTAGGTAAAAAATGAAGAAAGTACAGAAGAAGGTGAAAGAAAGAAGTTCAACTATAATTTCCATAGATGACAGAAACATAGGAATTATGGACTATGGAGGGGTAGGTGAAAGAGGTTTGGACGGAAACTAAGTATTTATTAACCAATCAACCACGTAATACCCTTTCAAGAACTGGCCCTTCAATAAATGCAACAAGAGAATGCGTTTAACATCATGAAAAGCCATCAATCAAAGAAAGTCCATTTCGAGACTTATTATTAATGCGAGTCTCATGATGCCTGCTGATTTCCCACTTGAGGACTAACTGTTCAAAAACGAGAAACCAGTCTAAAATCATCACATCAGTGGAAACCCTTCGTCGGTCATCAACTCTAAACACCTCCATATATGTCACTGCAATTCTCTCTCTAAACTGTTAGACCACGCAGCTCTAACAGAACTGCAGCAATGGAGAGAGAGAGAGAGAGAGAGGGTTGGTTAGGGCCTAGCGAACTTTATCATGAAAAGGAGTACCTGCAAGAGCACAGACCTGAACACGTCTAGCCAACCTATAAGAGAACAAACATGGTAAACATACAAGCAAGCTCTATATGGCATAGCAACACGTGAATAGGAAAAAGGATAAACAGCCAAAAAGGGCGGTGGTTCCGAGGAGAAAGAAAAAAATGAACTTTCTCTCTTTTCCTTTTTCTTTTCTCTCTTTGTTAATCAGCCTCATGCTGAAACCTCTATGACCATGGATGGCAGTTTCAATAGATTATTCACGTGCGAACATGTTTTCTGCTCTCACCATCTCCACTACAGTAACCAGATGAAAGGTCTTTAGACAAGAAAACTGAAGAAAAGGAAGGAAAAAAGAAAAGAAATGGAGAAAAAAGTATCAAAATTCTTTCTTCTCTCTTGTCGCATGGTCGAGGAATCTTAGCCCTAAAACAAACAACCCAAGTAGTAGTCGTACTATATTCGTAACGCCTCTTCCGTTTCTTCTCTTTCAACCTTTTTGTTTGTGTCGTGAATGAATCGAAGGACAGTCGTCCTCCTCTCCAAGGATGAAGATATACGTGCAGCTTTAATGAGAAGACGGGGCCATTAATTAATTAACCAGCAGTTACCTTGAGAAGAGAGTGCCACAGTCACATCTGTATTCTCTAGTACCGCAAGTCTTAGAATGGGCTTTCCAATCAGATTGAACAGCATATCGTTTTGAGCACTTCTCACACTTCCATTTCTTCTCACCATGTTTCCTTGAGTAGTGCTTTTTGATTCCAGTAAGGTCACCGAGAGCTCTAGAAGGGTCATGGTGAACGCATGTGGGCTCGGGGCACAGATAAACCTTCCTCCTCACTTCTTTTGTAGTCTTCTGCTTTAGCTTCCAAGGCAGGTTATGTCCTCTTCTGTGGAGCTGTAGGTTTTGCTCCCTTTGGAACCCTTTGTTGCACACCTCACATATGAACCGGTTTGTTGCCATTAGGGTCTTGGGAGATAGTGCTATCACCTCTGCGTCTGGATCTGTTATGAAAAATGACAAACAACAAATTATTAGAAAATTCAAAATTTTAATTACAAAGGAAAAGGAAACTTGGGGGAAGACATTTTAAAACGTAGAATATGTCTATATACAACCATGTCAGTTCCCCTAAAAAATTTATAGGTTTCTTTCAATTGGATTTTTGTGAAAGAAGAAGCAAAACGAAGATGAGAAAGAAATGTAAAAGATTGAGTGAAATTGAGAAAATCATTTTGTTACTTATGTAATTAGGTAGATCCAACTTTAGATAAAATTGATGATGATACTTGCTTGGTGTTCCAGGTTGGTTTCTCTTTTTCTTCGGTGGCGGCGGAGCCTGAGCTGAAGATGAAGTTGGAGTGGAGGAATGCTGTTGTTTCATCTGGTTTTGGTCTTCTTCCCTAATTCCAAAGAAAGGCACCGATGAAGAAGAAGCAGCCATATTCTTCAAAGAATTCTTCTACCTTTTTCCTTCTTCTCCAAGTTCTGTTTGCTTCTTCTGATCCTTTTTTCTCCTCACAAGGAAATTAATAGTCTTGAAAACCAATACAGCCCCACATGCAATTTAAGTTCCTGCTAAATATTCCTAACTCAAAAGGGCAAAAAAAGCAAATTCAGGCTTTGGGGTATTGATTAATGAGAAACCTAAAATGGAAAATAATATCTGATAGAGAACCTCAAATCAAGCAAAAGATGAAGAGAAAGAAAAAAGGTATAGCAGCCCATGGCATTAGATTCCTTTTTTTTTTTTTTTTTCTGTTCCTTTGTTTTAAATGCCAGATTTTGAACGAGAGAGGTTACTCTGGTTCTTCTTTGATTTGGTGTCATGCAGATACACTAACACATATACATACCATATATAATTCTTTTTTCTTTTTCTTTTTCTTTTTCTTTTTTTCTTTTATCTTCTTGTATTTGTTTCACAGTTTTTCCTTTCTCGATATTGCTCAATAATTTCCTTACCTTAAAATGATATTTATTACAATATGAAGATTAATTGAGAGGAGCAGGGAGGGAGGTGGTGGTAAGGCTTACAAGTCGGTGGACCCAATCCATCACACATAACGACATAGGATAGTGTGAGGGTAGCATGAACAGCTACACCTTCTCTCTCTCTGTCTCTCTTATATTTCGTATCTTGTTATTCACTTCCAGACAAAGCTTACCTCATCACTCCCTCTCCCAGTGGACCTCACAGTCAAATATTTAGTATATACTTAAACTAATTCTCCAAATGGGATCCCATGTAGCAGTAAAAAATCAAATTTAACCAAGGCAAATCAGGTGTTGCCTTTTCTTAAAAACATGTATAAGACCATTGATTTTGTGTTCACGTCAATCATATCTTTAATAATTTCATAACAAATGGGTTTGCTTCAACCATATGTTTGTAATATCTGAAGGGAATGGTACAAACATTACATTCATTTTTCAACATATAAAAAGAGCCAATCATTTGTAAGGCAACACTAGCATTAATTATTTCCATCTTCGTAAAATAATCTTAGAGTTGGAAAACTTGTCCTTTCATAATAAATAAAAATTTATGCGGAATAGAAAGTAAGCATACACCTTGAATTGAGGCGTTGAAAGACCGCACCTTAAAACAATACTACTCCTAATGCGAAATAAATTTTAGAAAAAGGGGTAGCCCACCTGAGACTGCAGCTTCCATGAAGCTGTTGGCCGGCTGAGGGACTGTATAGTGTAGTTAATTACTGTTTTCGACACTTATTTAGTTGACTGGCATGCAAAGGGCAAAAACGGGTCGACAGCTACCCTTTCTTAAGTGCACGGGAATTTATCCAGTTGAGATCGGTTACATGCAACGGGGGCCCTGGGTATCACATCAAGGTCAGTGAGGGTGTTCCAGTCATTACATACGACCTAGAGAAAAGACCTAATATCCAACCACTAGGGATAGACAATCACAGTCTCAACTTTTGTTAAGCTCCAACGTTCTTTGCTACCTTCACATATCATATTCCTGTCATTTCTAGCAAGTTACCACTTAATTTTATAGAGTTAAAAAGTAAGTTGACGCCATAAAGGTTATATATATATATATATGTATAGGATTCACTTAGTCAAGGAGATTATGATACAGTAAAGAGAATTATGTGCTTAATCTGGAATTTTGAAGCCTGGATTGGGACAGTTCTATTCTATTTTAAATTTCCCAGATTGACAGTTTTTATTCCATGCCAGCCACATTTATTGCTCAAACAAGAACGGAAAGCAATTAGGATTACAGTTGTCATTCTTTGCAACAATGACAGCTTAACGATAACCATGCATTTCACTTTCATGTATGTATCATGCTGATAGTGTCATGATGCTGCAGCACTTTGTGTAAAATGATGCATCAATTTGAATTAGTAAGAGTAATTAATTGACTGAAATCTAAACCTCACCTCTAAACTAAGCTTAGCTAGATTGACTGGGGGAAACTAGTTTCGATAGATGCAGTACTGGGCTGCTGTACTTTGATGTTTTTGAAATTTCAGCTGTAAGGGAAAAGAAAACAAGAATAAGTCCACTTAAAAACCAGCCATTACTGCTATATATGTATTTAGGGAATTTGAATGCCAATTCATAACCTCAACCTATTGGTAATGTTGGATGAACACCGATTGATACATAAACATAGCTAACATGGCCAACACTTTTTTCTCTTAATTTTATTTACCAGCAAGTTGGAACGCATTGAATGGACGTCATCTGTTACGGCTAACATTAAATAGTAGAGGATTTAGTTGTGGTGGCTCAATACCCTACAGAAATCCCAATTCCTCATTCAAAAAAAGAAAAAAAAGTCATTGGTAAACATAGAAAAATAATCCTAAGCAGTCTATTGATTTAAACCCTTCAATTAATTTAATTTCATAGGAAATATAAAACATTAAAAAAATAATAAAAGAGAAAATTTGGAGAATTGTTGGTGACTTTATTTGAGGATGGAGATATAGAGGAAAAAGAGAGAGGCATTTATCCAGACAACAAGACCAGTAAGTGACAACACAACAGCATGTTGGCATCACGAGGATGATAGTTCTGTTAGAAGAAGGACGCTCTGTATTTTCATTTTCAACGACGGCGGCACGGTACGTTAAATTCCATCCCTTTTTAAATTTTAATTTTTTTTTAATCAGCCGTACGTCGAACTCTTTTTAGTTACTCTCATCTCAAATCCCTTGACAAATGCCCAACCCAGTTAGATTAGCCTATAAATTAGTTATAGAAATGCTTTTTTTTTTTTTTTTTTTTTGTTGAAATGTAAGACAAGGAAAAAAAGCAAAGAAAGTTGTCTTTAATATTGGATCAACTCATCTTAAAGTTATATATAGAAATTGAGTTTATCCATGTATGTTTTATTTAAACACTTCTTGTTTTGCAATTAATTTTTTTTTAATAAAAATAGGAGACCATGTAATACCATTTATAGTATTTCTTCCAAAAAAAATTAAGAATTTAAATTGAATGATGTATAGAGGTTTAGTATATATATAGTCGTTAATCGATTTGAATAGGTGTGATTTTATTAGATTTATGTGATAAAAAATGAGTTTGAGATAATAAATAAATAAATTCAATTATAAATGGATCTATAGATAAGTTTGGAATTGGAATTTTAGACTAATTAAGATTTTTAGCTCATTATCTTTCACGGTTATTCGAATCTGATACAATTTTTCATTTTATACAAACTGAAAATAACATGGTAAGTTAAATAGACATGAATCACATTATGATACAAAATATTGTTTCCAATTGAAAAGAATTATTTACAATGACGGTATAGAATCACCCAATACAACATCCGACCAGAAAGTAGTTTCTTCTAATTCCAAGCTAATTCTTAATTAAACCAAAAGGTTGATAAAACTAATTAAGTTAATTAAGGTTTCGTGATTATGGGTAAGTTTTACACATACTAATGAAGAAGTTAACAGATACGGTAAAATTATATTCTCATATCTCATCTATAATTATAAATTTTTATATTGAAATAATTTTTTTAAAATAAATGCTTATTAAAGTTCTAAATTATTGAAGATTCGGAGCTAGCTGTAGCAACACAAGTTATGGAAAACAAAATGGATGTTGTTAATCAAATTTGTTATTTCTACTACTTATGTTTTAAAAATTATTAATACCCTCTTTTCATTAATATTTGTTACTATAGGATAGTTAAATATATTTTATATCAAATATTTATAATACTAAAAAATTAAATGTGTATGAAAACAAAAGCAAAAATATTGAAGGACATTTTAGATATTTAATTATGATATATTAACAAATATTAATGGAATGATGTGCTGATGATTTTTTTTTCAAAAAAAAATAAATTGTGGAAATAACAATTTGATGATGAATGTAGCAGTACCCAAACATAATTTTCAAGGACAATTTCTTTTATGGGATAGTCCTGGTGGAATTTAAAACTCTCCATAAGATATTTAAGAATTCTTCAAATTTAAAGTTTCAAGATATATGATAATCTGTTGAATTTAAGTACGTTCGGAATCCGTTGGATTTTTCTCCAAAAAAAAATCCTATAGGATATATATATTAGTAGCTTCAAGTGAAATGAAACGGAAACTTCTTGGAAGGATCAAATAAATCCAACTAGTGCAATGTAGAGACACGATCAGAAAAACAAAAATGTTAAGAACAAAGGTGACAAGATTAATAGAAGGGACAAAAAGGGTTCGGAATACAAGAATGATCCAAATCGAATATAATATAGCTAGGCTTGGGATATATATATCTATTAATATGGAGATCGGAACTCTCAAATTTTCGTGACCAACGAAAAAAAGAATAAAATTCAAAACTTCGCTGTACTTTTCCAAGTCAAAAGCAAGTTAATTTCAAGATACTTATAAAAAGGAAAATAAGTTTTTGTATAATGATAACTCTCGAAAAACAACGAGTTCGGAGCTTGTGTTCTTATTATCTTGTGAGAATCTTTTTTTTTTAAAAAAAAAAACAATGAAAGGTTGGTAATAGCATACCAACTTGTGACGAAATTTACTCTTCATCAACTTCAAATTCTACTCACTTGCAATTTAATTCATTTTATGCATCTTTAGTGAAATTAGAGCTTGAAAATCTTTATTCTAAAAGTAAAAGGCAGTACGTGTGGTTTCTATAATATCTCTCCTGTTATATATATATATATATATATATATATTGCACTAATTATGTCAATATATAACTTTATATTTACTAATCCTTCCCTTACCTCCCCCTTCGTCCTTTTTAACATAAAACATGACTAGTCTGAAAGAAGTTTACTCAAACATTAGGGTTGCATTCAATTTGGCCCCTAGGCCCTAGAGGTTCTGTTTATGCTTTCATTTGGATCAATGTCTCTCCTGACTTTTCAAATCCTTTTATCTATATGTATTCGGCAATCTAATGGAACCAAATTAG